ACCGGCGGGAGCCGGCGCAGCGATTCGGCGGACGCTCTGTCGCCGGCCGCACTACTTGCCCACCTGCCCGCGGGCAGTCGCCGCAGTTATGTCAGGGCCGCTGCTCGTGTAGGTGCACAGGGATGGGCTTAAGAATAGTGTCTTTTCTCAGGGTTATTTTTATCCTGGGTCGGCCCCACGGCTTGGCACGGCCCAGCTGAGGGGGATGAAGCTGGTGAGGGAAGCACCGCTTGCTCTGTGGTCCCAGCACCAGGCCTCAGGGTAGGGATGCGGCTCTGAACCCCAGCCTGGCACCAACGCCACCCTGAAACCTGCGCTAGATATCTAAACCCCGCAAAGGGGTGCCCACCCTTTCTGCCAGCATCATCTACCTGCTACTTCAGATGGCCCCTGCACGACATGTCGGCTGCTTTGGTTTGCGCTCTGAAAACCTTGGCTTCCCCCCGGCTATTACATAAGGAGCTTACACGCCTGGGCTGCGGTGGCGGGGGCTGGACGCCTGTGCTGCCAGGCCCGCTCTTGGGCGGTGGCGCGATCGCTGTGAAGGCAGGCCAGGGCAGGCAGACGAGCAGCTGTGCCGTTCTTCAGGGGAAAAAAAGGCTGTTCTGGCCATAAAGCAGCATGTTGTTTAAACATGGGCTTGTAAAGGAGTATGTCAAATTCCAGAGATTGCACTTTGTGGCTTAAGTGAGTAAATCCCAGTGAAGTCATATTTTAAGCACCTAAGTAAGCCCCTTTATGGATCTGGGCCTAAATCAGAGTCACGGAGCATGAACTTGACTCAGATCACTAAAATCACAGCCAAAGCCTTAAGCAGCAGAATCAGCATCTTTTCCTTGCTGCAAAACAAAAAACATTCTTAATTGATCCTTAATTATATTAGCAAATGTGTACCTCTAGTATAGTGATAATAGACTGTCTAAAAAAGGTCCTTCCTTACCTCACGCTTGATTCTAAGGTTTGCTTTTTCAGACTTAAAATAACTGTTTAATAGGCGAAAGCCTTTTTCATCAGCAAAATAAATCTTAATCACTCGGTACGTTTTCATTTTTCTGCATTTTTGGAGGCCACTCTCATCCCTGCCAATCATACGTTTGAGCAATTTCTCCAAGGCAAAGCCACTTCTCTCATGCTGCCTGAATCTACCTGACGTGTGGTTCCCTGCATACCATCATGCAAGGAAGGAAAATAAAACAAGTAACAATTGGAATATGTAGTTGATTCCACAAAGAAGCACACAAGTGCCCAGTAAGTCTTTAAGAAGCCACTGAGGTCATCATGCCTGCTGCCATGTAAACTTTACACATTTTCCTTCCTTTTCAAGGCCTTTAGGATAAAACCTTCAATAATCCTAGACTCCTGTTCACAGGCATGCTGTAACCCAGGATGTAAAGTTCTTTGGCTTAATAAATACCTCCTATTAGTCATAGGGAGAGAACAAAAACCCTTTTTAAAATGTTAACCTTACTGATAGCATTTGATAGTCAGCCATGAAATGCTCCTGACTCTCCGATTTTTCTCAAATCAGGGCAAATGGGATTTCATTAAAGTCGTCTCACCACATCCCTACCAGATCCAGGGATCCCTTATGTACATTTTTCCTGAGTTTCTCTCCTGCTATCAGCAGTAGTCATTGTTCTCAGAGCATCTTCACCTCTTTCTACTGATTAGCTTCAAGCCGAAGGTCTGCTATGTATACAAATTTACATTCACTTCTCTTGCAGGTCCTCCCAGCTATCCCGTTGTTTTCTTAAACGGTGATGATGTCTCAATTTTGCTTCTACTTTTCCACTTTCATTATTTCAAAATTGGCAATTCCCCCGTCCTGCCTTTCACTGTAAAACTTGGGCCGCGTCTGAGGTGTTACTCTCTTCACATTCAGGATTTCACTGCCTCTTGTTACATGACCTGCTAAAATGTCTTTTGACAATTCCTTTCTTAAATCCTCATTCATTACTATAGTTCTCTTTTCTGGCCACCTCACTTTTCCACTTCCTTTCCAAGATACTGAACCATGGTATAGCTCTGTAGCTTCTTACTGCTCTGATCACGCAGCAATTGTGAATCTTGTAATTGTTCTTTTCCTCTTCATATGAAATTTGAATCCCATGTCCTTATGCAGCACAACTGCCCAACTGTACCTCAGCCCAAGTTTCAACACAGCTCTCTTCAATTTTGTTTCCCCTTTCCTGTCTTTATCGTTGTCCTTGCGCTATTTGAATTGTCTCCAAACCCTCCAGATCTTAAACCTTGAAGATCTTCAAGTTTATCTGATCCAAAGCCAAAGTCAGCAGGATTTTGTTGGCTTCACATCCCAAATTTACAAATATTCTTCTCATACTTAATTGTATCTGCAAGAATGTATAGGCTCAGGTAATCAATAAGGTAATCAATAATGTATTAATTCTAGTTCACTGTATGGACAAACTGTGACTGTAACATCACTGCCTTGCTACCAATTTCACTTTCTAAACCGCTGATTTTGTTACCCATAACTAATGTGCTTGCTGCTTGCATAATGTAAATTCCATTTACTTTCTTTTGTAACACTTTATTCTAAGATTTTGAGATGTTCTTTCTCATTTCGTTAACCTTAAAGTTTATAAATTATCTGCCATTCATATTTGCTTTTCTTAGACCTCCACCTTTGGTGCCAGCACTTTCTTTCTTCCTCTCTTCTTTCCCTAGGATACAGGGTATACACACCTCAGAGAGTTCTAGAGTTCAAACTATTCCTGCAGCAGACTATGCAAATTTTATGACATACAAAAAAGATATCCAGGTCAAGGTCTTAATTCTAATCTTTGAAGACCACAGGATAAGGTTTGTAGCTGTTCCAGGAGTTGCGTGTCTCGCCATAAGCTCTGCAACAGCTGACCACTACAGGGACAGTAAGGCCTTGTCTACATTGAAAAGACCAATTGATTTCATTGTAGAGGGTAGAAGGAGGATTTGGACCTGGGAGGTTCAGCAGTTGAGACAGCTGTTTCTTTGACAGCTGACAGCTGTCATACCAATTTCCCTCAAGATTAATTTTAAGGCAGCTCTAATGTAGATGGAAGCCATCTACATTAGACATTGACAAGAGTCAAGGCAAAACCTTAAACTAATGGAAGACAGATAGTGTGAACAGAAGTGGTGCTTCAGCTCTTGCAAAATAACTGGCTGAAAGACATTCCCGTTCCAAAAAGGCCAAAGGCTATCATAGCAAGGGATGACACCCTTTGGGGCTGAGAAAGGGCATTTTAGTAAAGGATATTCTGTACTTGATGGAGATCAGTTTTGTGACCGATAGGGTACAATGGTGGATTTACCATTTTACAAATGCCAGCCTCCATTAACAACAGCTGCACAATGACCTACTTAT